AGCCGGTCCAAGGCTGAGGATGATGACTGGCCCATAGAACCTACACCGCTCAACGGCGACAAAGACCGCATCCCTGCAATACCTTCCTCATCTTTAATCCGGGCATTTTCTTCTTCTTCATCTTGTTGTTCCTTTTCTTCTTTTTCCTTTTTGGCACCCGCCTGCAGGTTAGCCAACGTCCGTAGTGCCCGTTCTCTAGGTGCCGTGTCCAGCATGACACCTCCACGAGTATCCAACAATGCAGCCAGTAGCCCCGACACTTGTGGCCTCATGAGTCCCGAGGTATGGTCTGCAAGAACACATAATCGGGCAGCTGCAGTTTGAGCGAAAAACGGAGCCAGTGGAGATACAGCCATGAGAGGAGACCCTAGAAGACTAACAAGAGCAGCCAGGGGCTCGGCTAAATCAATAGGGGCCGAAGCTGCTGCAGCCTGTGCGCATAGAAACAAGCCCTTGAGAGCTGGAGCCGTGTCCCAAGTACGTTCCAGAGAAGTACGTGCACGCAGCAAGTCATCCATAAGACCGTGTGAGGGCTGGTCAAGAGCTCGTTTAAAAAGAACACAAACACGAGCAACAGCATCTGAATCTGTGGCGTAGACAAGTGAAGCAGGGATAAGACCTGGGATGTGAGTCAAAGACGAATGCATAGTGTCGAGAAGAATAAGAACATGAAAAAGACGTTTGTGAAGGTCATCTGTAGAGCCCAGTAAAGATCTTGTTGAATAGTCATCGTCACTACTGTCTGTATCACTGGATAATATTAAGCTTTCGTCATCATCATCATCATCATCATCATCATCATCATCATCCGTATCAAGTGGAGGTGCTAGACGATGGGGTGGGAGGTGCATGTTAAGCTGGTAAGCTGTAGCCACAGCCATTGCTAGCCAGAGATTATCATTATTATGTGCTAACAAGTGTTGGATGATGAGAAGGATGACAAAAGCTGGACAAGTTCGATTTGGGTGAGGCTGTGGTAGTGCAAGGGTAGTAGAGATAGTTTGAAGGATTGGTGAATGTTGGAGAGGTTTGTTGAGAAGTTTTGAGTAAAGGGCTGAAATGCCGTCAAGAATAGCAACACCTAGAGTGGTTGAAAGGTCTCTAGAGGCAGGTGCATATAACCAAGCTTGGAGACGAACTTTTGATGGGGGGAGTATAGGGAAGACTGGGTGGACTAATTGGTAGTAGGAGTCTATAGCGAGATCATTCCAGTGGGCTGCTAGAAGGGCTTCAGCAGGGTTTGCTAGTCTTCGGAGTTTTGTTGGTGGAGGGGCATTTGTTGAAAAGTTAGATAATGTTGAAGTTGAAGTTGAAGTAGTTGAAGTTATAGTTGTATCATCGGTGGAAGGGAGGTAGCTGGGGACCGAATTTGAGCGAGAAACGGAGCCGGATTTATTATGGAGATGGTTGTTATTATTATAATTATTATAATTATTGTGATTATTGTTTGATGAAATCACGGAGATGGCGGCTTCATGGATGTTTTTCCGAGTGTTGTTTTGTATGGCGAGTTCGGAACAACTTTGGGTGATTCCGGTGGTGGTTGTTGCTGTTGTTGCTGTTGTTGCTGTTGATGTTGATGTTGATGTTGATGTTGATGTTGAAGTTATTGTGGTAGGTTTGGCCGAGGCATGGAGGGGAAGGTGCGGCGGTAGTGACGGCGGCTGCGGCTGCGGCTGTGGCGGCGGCTGTCGGAGGGATTGTGGAGAGTTAAAATGTTTTAATGAATGGAAATGGATTTGAGGTATTGAAGAAGGGCTTGGACCATGAGGTTTAGGAGAAACTGATGAAGATGAAGAAGAGGTTGATGAAGATGTTGATGAAATTGAAGATGTTGATGTTGAAGATGAAGAATTAGGACTTTTGAGGTTAAAGAAGTTAGTAATTGAAGGTAGTAATAAAGGTGAAGAAGGATGATGATGGATTGATTGTATATGATTGTTATTATTGAGATTATTGAGATTATTGAGATTGTTGATGTTATTATTATTATTATTATTATTATTGATGTTACTATTGATGAGTTGTTGCGGTGGATTGACAAGTGCATGAGAATCTGCTGGCACGTTGTTATGTGCGAGAGCTGCGCAGGTAATTGAAAAGGAGCGCTTACGGAAATTTGCTGGAGGACTCAATCTGGTAGTGTGCGGCTGTTGTTGTTGAGAATTATTATTAGAATGAGGAAGTGGTGGTGGTGGTGGTGAAGACTTTTTGTGTGGGGGAGAAGAAGAAGATGAAGAAGATTGTTGATGTTGTTGTTGTTGTTGTTGTTGTTGTTGTTGTTGTTGTTGTTGTTGTTGATTTAAAAGATCTTTACGTTGACTTTTAAATTTTTTAAAATGTTAGAAATATATAAAATAAAAAATAAAAAATAAAAACTTACCCTTTGGAAGGCCCTCGTTTAAGAGGCACTCGATAGAAACAACATTCAACTGCTGCCTTTTTACATGAAGAACATTGAAGCCGTCCATCATCTGGATTAGCATCACATCGAATCTATTATTTTTAATTAAATTAAATTAAAATTAAATTAAAATTAAAAGTGGGTTAGGAAATTTTTTTATTAAAATAAATGATAAAGTAAGTTAAGGTAAGTTAAAGTAAGTTAAAGTAAGTTAAAGTAAGGTTAAGGGTTTTTCTTTTATTTCCTTTTAATAAAAAAAAAAGTTTTTGGGGGAATTTTTCCTCCCCGCATGTGGAGAAAAAAAAAAAAAAAAAAAAAAAAAAGAGGAGAAAGTTAAACTCCAATTATCCGAGTGCGAGGGGAAAATATAAAAAATATAAAAAATATAAAAAATATAAAAAATATAAAAAATAAAAAAATAAAAAAAACTCACCTTTTTTTTACGACAAGCATCACAAGCTCGAGATACTTTAGAACGTTTTCGAGGAGCAAAAGGTGGAGATTGTTTTGAAGTAGAAGAAGAATCTTTAAAAAAAGATGGAGGTTGATTAATAGAAATAGAAGATGAAGATAAAGATAAAGACGATGATGGTGATGATGATGAAGTTGATGAAGAAGAAGGTGCTGTAGTTGAAGTTGTAGCTGTAGCTGTAGCAGCAACAACAAATCCAGAGGAGGACATTGTTGAAGAGAATAGTATTATTTTTTTTATTTGAGGGAAAAAGAAGAAGAAGAAGAAGATGATGATGATGATGATGATGAAAAAGAATAAAAGAATAAAAAGAGTTGATATAAATATAAATAAATTAAAAATAAATTAAAAATGAAAATAAAAAAAAGTGGAGATTTAAAGGGTTATATATATTTAAATAAATATAAATATAAATATAAAAAAAAATAAAAAGAATTAAAAAGGTCTACAAAATGTGTGGGGGCATTAAATCTTGGAATATTTTCTCCAGGTTTATATAGAAATATATTTATATATATATATTGTATATAAAAAGGTCCTCGGAAAAAAAAAAAAAAAATTCCTTACATAGTACTACCGTTTAAATATTTATATATATATATATATAAAAAAAAAAAAAAAAAAAAAAAAATAAAAAAAAAAAAATTAAAAAAAATAAAAAAAAATTAAAAAATATTGTAATAACCGGACATGACGCAGATTGAACCCGAACTTGAATCACCTTATTTACAATTCCTATTGATAAAAAAAAAAAAAAGGGACTTGTTGATCTTTTACATAAACAAAATTCATATGAATATATATTTACATATATATATATATATATATATTTATATGAATTTGATTAATTTATTTAAAAACTTTTTTTTTTTTTTTATTTTTTTTAAATTAATTTTAAACTGATTATTTTTTTTTTTTTTTTTTTTTTATAACAATTAGGTCCACCACATACCCCGCATTTTGTAATTTTAAGAATACACTGACAAAAAAAAAAAAATGATTTGGGTTAGGGTTTACTTTTATATATATATGCTTAGTAATATTATTATATAAATGTCAAACAAAAAAAATATTATTTCTCTTATTATTATTATTATTATTATTATTATTATTATTATTATTATTATTATTATTATTATTATTATTATTATTATTATTATTATTATTATTATTATTATTATTATTATTATTATTATTATTATTATTATTATTATTATTATTATTATTATTATTATTATTATTATTATTATTATTATTATTATTATTATTATTATTATTATTATTATTATTATTATTATTATTATTATTATTACTATTGATTCTTTTTTTTTTTTTTTTCTCCGGGGTTTTTTTTTTTTTTTTATATATTTATTTATTTATTTTCTTAAAAGACTTTCAAAACACTCATCTTCCACGGACTTTCCGCCCAGTCTCCGGAAGTTTTTTTTTTTTTTTTTTTTTTTTTTTTTTTTTTTTTTTTTACTCTCTCTTTCCTTCTTACTTTCTTTATTATGTGGGGAATATTTATATATATAAATATATATTAAACCGCCACCTCCACTCTCTCCCCTCTCTTTCTCAATATATATTTATTTCAATATTTCAATTCTTTTTTAAATTCTTTTTTTTAATTCTTTTTTTTTAATTCTTTTTTAATAATTAATAATACCATTTTTTTTTCTCCTCTTTTTATTTTTATTAAATTATTATATTATATTGTTGTGTAGTAATAAATATATATAGTTATAATAAAAATTCTATGTGATATGGTGTTTCCACCTCCTCATTAACACATGGATTTATTATTATTATTATTCCAAAGGCCCCGGAAAAACTATAAAAATAAAAAAAAAAATTAAATAAATAAGAGAGAGAGAGAGAGAGAAGACATATATAATATAATATATGTGGGTGTGAGTTGGGTTGGGTTAAAACTTAATACAGGGTAAGGGTTTTTTTTTAACTCTCCTCCTCTTCCTCCTCTTCCTCTTCCTCCCCTTCCTCCCCCTTCCCCCTCCCCACAATTTAATCGGAATCACGGCCCAAGACTATATTTTTTTTTTTATTTTTTATTTTTAAAAAAAAAAAAATTATTAATAATAATAATAATAATAATAATAATAATAAAATGATCACGTGATTATTTGTTACAAAAATTGAAATATATATATATATATATATTTTGTAATTTTATTTTTTTTTTTTTTTTTTTTTTTTAAGACGAGAGGAGAGGGGAGAAAAAAAAAATAAAAAATGAAAAATGAAAAATGAAAAATGAAAGAAAAAAAAAATTAAATAAAGTGTAATGGACATTACCGGAGTTGAACCGGTGACCTTTCCCATGCGAAGGGAACGCGATAGCCACTACGCTAAATGCCCAGTCACGTGAATAGTTTATATTTTATAGTATTGTTTCACTAAATGTACTTTTCACAATATATTAATATTGGGTTAGGGTTATTAAAAAATTATATTAATTTGAAAAAGAATTAAAAAAAAAATTAAATTTAATTTAATTTAAATTTAATTTAAATAAATTGGAAATTTAGAAAAGAAAGAAAAAAAAATTCATTAATTTCTTTTTTCAAATTATTTCAATATATATATATATATTTTTTTTTCAAATTAATATAATCATTTTTTTTATATTATTAATATATATCATTTTATATATAAATCAACAACTCCTTGAAACAAAAAAAAAAAAAAAAATAAAATAAATTGTAAGAAAATCTGCCATGGGTGCTAGACCGAATTTTTTTTTTTTTTTTCTTTTTTATTTACAGTGAAAATATATATATATATATTATAAGAAGTATATCATGATATAATAGCACCCAAAAAAAAAAAATAATAATAATAATAATAATTAATTAATTAATTAATTAATTAATAAAAATATATATAAAACTCGTATTACTCTTTTTCTTTCTTTCTTTTCTATCTGTCACAACAACAAAGTCAATGAAATAAAACAAAAAAAAAAATAATTAAAAAAAGTATTCAGTTTTAATTGGACAATACCGGAATTGAACCGGTGACCTTCTCCATGCAAAGGAGACGTGATAACCACTACACTAAATGCCCATATGTTATGAATACAATAGGTAATTGAATCATCGAGACAGATCTGTGAAGTAATTTTTATTTTTTTCCTCTTTTTTTTTTTTTGTTATTAAATTAGTTGTGATGTGTGAGTTGGAGTAATATTGGTAAGGAGAAAAAAAAAAAAAAAAAAAAAAAAAAGGGTTTAAAATTTATATGTTTAGTGTACCAAAAATAAGCTTATACCCTAAAAAAAAAAAATATTACCCAAACCTTGTTATAATTTGTTTTTTTTTTTTTTTTTCATTTTTTTTTTTATTTTTAATAGACAAATTTCCACTATAAAAAAATTTTATTATCAAAGCTTATATCAGCCATTCATCTATTATATATATATATATATTTAGTTTTTAACATAAACATACATTATAAAAATAGCTTGCATATAATATAAACAAATTAATTCTTTAGATTTTGTTTTTTTTTTTTTTTTTTTATTATCAAAAAAAAAAATCTACATAAAAAAAATTGTCATGACCTTTGATTAATTAATCTAAAGTGTAAAGTTTGATTTAAAAAAAAAAACTTAAATTTATAAATAATCCAAAAAAACAAAATAGAAAAATAACATATAAACCAATTATTATTATTAATTATTTTAAAAAATACTAACAAAAAAAATATATATATATATTTATATAAATATATATGAAAAAAAAGAAATGTTGACGGGTGCGAGGTTCGAACTCGCGCACTCTCTCGAGTAGCAGATCTTAAGTCTGCCGCCTTAAACCACTCGGCCAACCCGCCTTTAATTGTAACTTGTTAAAGAAAATTCAAAGGATGAGTATATATAACAGGTGATATAAAATTTTAAAAAAATTTTTTATTTTTTTTTTGTTTTTTTTTGAGCTTAAAACCATGTCAGACCCCCCCAACAACACCCAAACCACGTTTAGTGGCGGCGACCCTCCTGCCGACAATAATTATACCGACAATAATAATGAACAGACTAATATTAATGATATGCAAAAAATTATTGCTGTTGAACTGAAGGAGAAAGAAAGTTCTCATTCCAGAGGACCTCATTCTCATGAAGCTCATCACATCAAACCCTCGACAAAAATCCAAAAAAATAATGAAAAACCAGACTCCCATAAAAAAATTGAAACTATCCACAAAAAGCTTGAATCGAATGATAAGCATAATGCTTCTTCAAACCACGAAACCCCCGTTGAAACCCCTATTGTGAATGTTGGTCCAACCTTGAACCCTACCTTTGACTCTTCACCAGATGGTGGTGATGTGGAAATTGACGCAACACCATCACGTGACATGGATGTTCTCATGCCGGATGCAAATCCATTTGGTGATAATTCTGAAGCCTGGGAATACATCTTAAAACTTAAGGATGTATTTCTGGTTGAATTGTCTATTGTTAAAGAAGACTTGAGTATTACAATTGAAGATTGGGAAATAAAATTTCAAAATCTTGAACTTAAAAACAATGAGTTAGCTAAACAACTCATTGCTTTGACCGAAAAGCTTAAAGCTTCAGAAGGACAAGTGAATTCTCTTCGCTCAGAACTTGATGTTTTGAGAAACAATCAGGTTCACACAGAAGTTAAACATGTAATGTTTGAAAAACTTAAAAAGGAAGTTAAGGATAATAAGGATCATTGCGATAAAGTGAAACATAAAGCTGATGAAATAGCTAAGATGACTCTTCAAGATTTGTCTCAAGAAAAAGCAAGAAACAAAAGAATTATCGACACTGAAATCAAGGAATTCAAAGAAATGACCAACAATCTTGAGAAAAGAGTTGATAATATGGAATACAAAGTTGGAACTATTTCAACTAAGGCTGATTTAACTACCAAAGAACTTAGCTACGCAAAAAGGAAATCAAGAGTGCGGTAAGAAAAGTCGACACTTTGCCTTTTGCTTTGACCCCTAAAACTCCAAATGGAGCAACTCCAAAGTTGAAAGACATTATGAAGGCTCAAAAACAACACCGTGAAACTAAAGTTGATGAAGACAAACCCACTTTTAGAGTGTGCATAAGAATTCCAGATACCATGAAAAGAGTTAATATCCCTGCGATTGGAAAGAAAATTGATGCGGTTGCACAAATGCCGGTGGCTCAGGAAATAGGCTATACTGTCAAAGGGCATTTATATGTTCAACTTAATGACAAAGATTTTGCTGATAAAGCTGCAGAATGGATCCCCAAAGTTGACCCTACTTATTCAGTGCTTGACACAGATTCTTGGTACAAGGCTGTACTTCAGGAAATACCTAATACGGCATCGATTGAAGACTTGAAAGAAACTCTCTACAATTTTAATGATTACCATATTGTTTTGAATACCGAACCCAAAATCATTAGCAGAAACCAATTTACCCAAACAGCATTGGTTTCATTCAGAAATGCCCAAGACTATGCAAAGTGTGCTGATAATCTTATTATCCAGTACACAAAAGTTAAAGTTAGACCTTTTATTAGCAGAAAAAAAACTCCTGAAGAACTCCAAGCTATGCGTAATAAGATACGATTATTGAAAAATGAATCAGACAAAAAGGATAATGAGGCCCATCCTGTTTCCACTGACGACTCACAAGATGAACCGATGAAAGAAACAAATATTGAAGAACTAGATGAATCCAATGAGGAAGAAAACGAAAACAATTCTATTACATCCAATGAATTATAAAGTATTCCAACTCAATTGTCATAAATCGAAATCTATTACTGAAACTATCTTAGATAAAAAAGAACCTGATATCTTGTTATTACAAGAACCTTACTTTAACAACTATGGGCCCATTAAACATAAAGATTGGATCCCAATCTTTACAGAAACTGGAAAAGAAAAAAATAAATGCAGAGCAATTACTTACATTAGGTCTAACTCTGACTTACGAGCATTAACTACTAAAATTGAAAAGTTTACAAATCGAGATATGGTTACCATTTTGGTTAAAGACATTACAATTGTCAATGTCTATAATCAACCGAAACCATCCAAGAAATACCCTGAGCCACCGGTTTTTGAGTTTCTCAAACGGGAGATCAAGGAACAATACTCAAAGATTGTCATTGCAGGTGATTATAACTTACATCACAAGGAATGGGAGTCAAGGGCAGGTCCGAATACGGAAGCAGATGAAGTTGTTGAGTGGCTACATGAAAATGATATGATGTTAATTACTCCAAGAAATCAAAAAACATACAACAATAGAACCAATATTGATTTGGTTTATGGCTCAGTGGACTTACTTCATAGAATTTCATTTAGTGGAGTGGATGAAAATACACTAAGTGATCACTCAATTGTGGAGGGGACATTTATATGTCTCAGAGTAAAAACGGGGATGAAGTTTTTACTTCGGTGAAGAGATTGAATATTAAGAATGCAGATTGGGAAAAGTTTGACAAGGAGCTTTCTTCTGCCATTAAAGATTTTAATGTGCATAACAAAACTCTAAAATCAACTGACCAAATTGATGACCAAGCTAAAGTTCTTGAGGAGGTTGTAAAAAGAGCAATGGCAAAGTCGATGAAGGAAGTTAAGGTGATGAAAAAGTCCAAACGCTATTGGAATCAAGAATTAAGGGAGAAGTTAGAAAAAGCGCTAGAAGCTAAAAGGGAAGCCCGTCAAAGACAACCTTCTTTGGCTTTGAAACGACAAAAAATTGAAGAGGCGAAAAAAGCTAGAAAAATTTTTGACCACAGTTTGCGTGAGGCAAGTACTGAGCAATGGAATAAATATTTGTCTAGTTTAGAAGGAAATGACATTTGGAAGATTTTGAAGTATATTAATCCAAAAAGCAATGATACCATTATACCACAAATTAGAAAAGAAGATGGAACTCTCACTACTACTGTTGACGAAAAAAGACATGAAATATGGAAGGCACTTCTACCTGAAATTGATCATGGTCTTGATAGAGAGTTTGAAATTGATGACGATTCTCGATGGCCAAAATTAGAGCTTGATGAAGTTGACTCTGCATTGACTGATACCCCAAATGATAAAGCTCCAGTAGATGATGGAATTACGGGCAAAGTTTTAAAGATGGCATGGCTGAATAAAGACTTTAAGGAAAGGTTTTTCAAGCTTCTCCAAGCTTGTGTGAAGTTTGGATACCACCCAAAAGCCTGGAGACATGGCATTATTGTTGTTATACCTAAACCTAAGAAATCTGATTATTCAAAGCCAAGAGCATACCGACCAATTTCCTTACTTAAGATTCCATCTAAAGTACTGGAAAAAATTATACAAAAAAGAATGACCAAGCTTACAACACACTTACTTCCACCAGAGCAATATGGGGGAAGACAAGGTTATTGTGCTACTGATGCTGTTTTGGAACTTGTCCAAAGAATTGAAACTAGTAAAGAAAAAATTTCAGCTATGCTCATTGATATTCAAGGAGCCTTTGATAATGTTAACAGAAATATATTGGCAGACACAATGGAGGATATGAAACTACCCAAAGCACTTATAAACTGGACGTACCAATTTGTAAGTGAAAGAGAAGCTAGCATGCTCATGGACCGAAGAAAAGGATCAGTGCAAAAAATTAGTACTGGAATTCCACAAGGCTCACCTATTTCACCACTACTTTTTTGATATATTCCACACCAATGTATCATGCCATTAAAGAATGGGGTGGAACTCCTTTTGGCTTTATTGATGATGTGACTATTACCGTTGAAGGTAAAATTGAAGAAAATACCAAAAGCTTAAGCAACATATTAGAAAAATGTTGTAATTGGGCTAAATCAAGAATGACCAAAATTGATTTGGGTGATAAATTGGGTTTTATTCATTTTACAAAAAATGTGAAACCTAAAGATGAGAAAGTGCAACTTATTTTACCTAATGGAGAACTTCGTGAACCCCAGAAGGAAGTTAAATTGCTTGGAATTATTTTGAACAATCTGCTTGATTTTACATCTCATATATTGAATAAAATCAATAAAGCAAGAAAAGCTGTTGGTGCTATTTGGCATCTTGGTGGCGTGCAAAAAGGTATGCGAGGGTCTGCAGTCAGATCACTGTATATTGCTTGCGTGAGACCAATTGTCGAATATGGCTTAGAAATTTGGCATCACAAAATTTTGAAAGGAGAAATCCACAAGTTGGAAGTAATGCAGAATATGGCTTTAAGAAGAATTGTTGGTGCTTATCGCACAACTCCTATTGCGGTACTACAAAAGGAAGCTGGTATTATGCCATATAGTATTAGGCTAAAATTTATGGTGGCACGAAAAGCTATTCGTTTACACCTAAATATTAGCAAAACTAATCCTATTAATGGTCATTTGTTAACATTGATTGAGAAATCTCCAATTGCAAAGCTAACCACGCTTTACATGTTGGCGAAAGATGATAGAGACTATATGATTAAAAAGGATGAAAAACGAAAATGCAAGAGGGTTGAACCTCTTACACTGAAACAACAACAAAATCAGACGATTGGAATTTTGAAGAAACAAGCAATGGAAGAATGGCAAGAAATGTATTGGAACAGCAGTAAGGATCTGTGGTATCATAATATCACAGTGGAGTAGAAATGTACTGATAATCTTTCCAAAATGGTTACGGGAGTGATCATGAAGAAAGATAGTCGAAGGATCTTGAGTAATATTACTCAGTTTCGCACAGGCCATGGCAACTTTGGCGCATGGTTTAAAAAGTTTGGAATTGAAAAGGATAGTTACAACTGCAAATGTGGAGAGCTGGAAACAGTTCATCACATTTTAGTTGAGTGTCCTTTGCTTGAAGAGGAAAGAAAAGGACTGAAACGGATATCTCCAGAGATGGACATGTCGACTCTCTTAAACAGTTTAACTGGCTTACAAGAGATTGTAAGCTTTATCTCTGCTTGGAGGGATTAAGAAATACAATTACAGCGTTGATGAAGACAAGTGGAGATAGGTTGGGAAGGTTTGGTTATTTTAACCCCCTGTTCCTCGTAAGCTGGCATCAGGACTTATTTTCGGGCTGTTGGAGATGCAATGTTGAAGCCAAAATTAAAAGTTTATTATCAAAATGAAAAAATATATAGTATGGACAAGAAGGATAGCGCAGATGCTGATGTTATATAATTCTATAACCCTTGAATAAAAACAAACAAACAAACAATTTTGTTTTTTTTTGTTTTTATTTTATTTTATTTAAATATAAATGGTAATTGTATTTAAATTTTAAAACAATAAATAATATTTTTTAAGTTAGTATAGTTGAAGAAAAAAAAAAGAAAAAAAAAAAAGAAATATCTAAAAACTTTAGATAAAATATATAAAATATATAAAATATGTATAAAGTAAATAATATAAATTATTATTATTAAAAAGAAAAAAAAAAAAAATCCAATATAAACTAAATGCTTTTAGTCATTTTAAGCTTATCATGGTAAGGCTTTTCTTCACTTTCATGAAAAAAAGAAAAGAAAAAAAAAAAAGAAAAAGAAAATAAATAAACAATAATTTTTTTTTTTTCTGTTTTTCTGTTTTTTTGGTACCTTAGTTTCTCATACTTTTGTTCTCCATTCTTAATCCTTTTATTTTATTTTATTTTATTTTTTTTTTTCATCATTCCAGTATTTAAAAAAAAAAAAAAAAAAAATAAAGACTGCTGGTGGATTACAATCATACATTAAAAATTTTTCAATTTATTTTTTTTATTTTTTTTGTTTGTTTGTTTGTATCCCTTGATATATATAAAAAAAAAAAAAACAAAAAAAAAAAAAAACGTTGGTTGTCTATATAATTTGATTTTATTTTTATTTTTATATTTTCATTACTTTCATCTCTCCTACACACACTCACAAACCCCCCTCGTTGAAAAAAAAAAAAAAAAAAAAAAAACCACGCATGTACCCATTCTCCTAGTTTAATTTAATATCATCAAAAAAAAAAATAAAATAAAATAAAAAAAAAGGAATGTTGAATTTTATTAATTTTTTTTTTGTTTTTCTCCTTATCGTCTTTTTTTTTTTTTTTTTTTTTTTTTTTTCTCTTTTAAAAAGATGATTATTTTATAAGAAATCCTTTAACTCTTTGTAATTCTTTTACTGATAATGTACTAGATAGATTTAACTGACTTGATGGAGGTTGTAACTTTACTTTATAGTTATACCTATATATATACCTATATATACATATAATATGCACGTTTTTTTATTTTATTTTTTAAAGCTTATCATTGTCGCCAACTAAAATTAGGGTCTTCCATTTCCGCTAGTCAATAATAAGGATAGAATGGGAGGAGGAGAGGTGGTTGTTTTAATAGGAATGTAGAGTTATAAAAGTCTTGAATCTTTGTTTTTATTTTATTTTATTTTTATTTTATTTTTATTTTATTTAAAAGGAGCTTAAATAATTAAGTTGATATTGATACTGATGGTGTGCTTGATTTAAATAATGGTGATATTAGGGGAGAAAAAAAAAAAAAAAAAAGTGGTGATATTTATTTAAATTTGTTACCTTTTTTTATTTATTTTTTTATATATTTTTTTAAGGAGTAATATACAAAATTTGACTTCTCCTTATAAGGAGAAATCATATATATATATATATATATATAAATTAATGAAATAAAAAATAAAAATTGACAAAAAAAAAATCAAAGGGGTGGTAGTTTTTGTTTTTATTTCTTTAAATTACTACTTTTGTAATCATCATCATCAATTAATAAGGGAAATTAGAGAAAAAAAAAGATTTGAGGGTTCTTGTTAAGTTTCTTGTTAAAAAAAAAAAAAAAAAAAAAATATATTCAAATTCTTGAATTTTTTCATACAACACCCTCATTATTGACAATTTTTTTTTTTTTTTTTTTTTTTTTTAATTTTGAAAGGTTTAATTGTAATTGACTTTTTATATATATATATATATATATATATATATATAATACTAGTAAAAAAAAAAAAAAAAGGTGGAACCTCCATCTAAAATTTCATCTTGTCAACTTTAATCTCTGGGCTTGCTTCTAATTGTTATTATTATTAATTATATAAAGAATACTATTACTATCCGTTGTTGTTGTAGATAACTCTAATGGTTCTTTTTTTTTGTTTTTCTTCACATGAGATAAGACAAACAAATTTTTTATTTTTTATTTTTTATTTTTTATTTTTTATTTTAATTTCATATTTCACATTCCTCAGTCAATCACTCAATTCCAGATTTATTTAACAAAAAAAAAAAAAAAAAAAACCACTCCACATTCGTATAAGGGAAATAAATAGTGATGGTGTATAAACATACATACATACATACATACATATATAAATATATAAATATATAAATATATAAATATATAAAATATAAAATATTTAAAGTAAAGTGGATGTTATTGTGCCCATTAGAAAAAAGGGCCTTTTTATTTTTATTTTTTATTTTTATTTTTATTTTTTCATGATGGATTGTATATATATATATACATCACTAATTTTTTTTTAGTGCTATAAATTAGTGAATTTAAAAAATATTTAAAAAAAATTTAAAAAAAAAATGTCAATTAGAATGTTTGTTGTTGTTGTTGTTGTTGTTGTTATTATTTCACCACTATATAAAAAAAATGAAAAGAAATTAGTTTAAACCCTCCTTCTTCTTCTTCTTCTTCTTCTTCATCTTCTTCTTCTTCTCACGCCCCCTCGTCCTCCTCCTTTCCCATCCCAAACGGCTGATGTTTGTTTTGAATTTTTTTTTTTTTTTTTTTTTGAAATTGTCATGACTACCGAGGCTATCTAATTCTCTAAAAACAGTAGTTTGTTTACTTTTACATGGGGGGTTATTTATTTATTTATTTAATATTATTTTAGCGCCATTTAGTTGTTATTATTATTATTATTATTATTATTATTATTATTATTATTAAAAATTATTTTATTTTAATTTTTTTTTTTTTTTTTTTTCCTCAAATCATTTTCATCATCCCCTTAAAGATCTTTGCATATTATTTTATATATAATTATATTAAAAGGAATGTACCGTTTTAGGATAACAGGGTAAGGGTTTAGTTACTTATTTAGGTGATTGCTGTTTCCCTTTTCTCTCTCTTTTGAT